AGACGTACTCAGCGGCGTAGGTTCGGTTGTGCATCATCAGGAGTTCGACATCCTTGACATTGTTGACAAGGAAAGACTTGTGGCCAGAGGGCATCATGTAACGAGTCTTCTTGTTGGACCCGAAACCGATCTATAGTTTTCCGGCTCGTCAGCATTTTTCCTCGCTCTGGCGCAATGAATTCGTCCTTGTCTTGTCATTCAATCAACCGGTTCCATGTTTGCATCGTGCCAGACTGGGAAGGAAACATGATTTCTCCCACGTCTAGTACGTCCACCATGGTGGGGGTTGAAGTGACATAACTCGGCGAGAGGAAGCGAATCAACATACGGAAGGCATGGCCATGGTTCCACGGAAGCGTCTTCGGACACGGTTGTCAATGCCCTTGGGCTTGCGCCAGCTGGCGCTGAGGCACTTGAACCGATCACTCTGGTGACGGTTGAAGCGCGTGGTGCCTGGTTTCATCACCAAGTCAGTATTTCTGCATAGGTCGAATAGTTCCAGTCTCCGACCACTATCTCTGCCGGCTTCCCCGCTTTCGCAACAACTCGAGAACTCATGAGTTCTTTCATTCCCTTTGTGCCGAGCAATCGAGTCGTTTCGAATCGGGAGAAACACGGGTCGTCTTTGGCGGCAAGACAGCGGTGGACATTATACGTACGCTTCTTCACGATGGGGACGTGCTTCTTGGCGGAAACCATCTTGATATCAACAAGTTAGTATGACAATTGTCTTGTAAAATATCGGCGCTATGTGAGGGTATATAAGCTTACCTTGACGGCGGATACTCCTGGTCTGATGGGCTGTAAAAGTTGGCCGGCGTGATGTTCACTCGAGGCGAAATTTTGGCGGATGCCACAATGAGACGCTAAGTCGAAGGGTTTAGGGCTGTTTATCACGTGAGGGCTGCTTTTCCGGTGGGCCGTGTGGGTGGTTGCTCGTCTAATTTTGCACCAAGGGGAAAGCGCAAGCTTGACCACAATTCATGAGTTGAGGGATGCCCACAAAAAAAAAATCCATCCGCCCCCCTGCACAATGAAAGCAGACTAGCGTCTCCCGAGGGCACAAACCCTCTCTATGCGAAAAATTCCGCCGGGTGAGCGAGACTAGCAAGCAACTCCATCACGTCCCGCCTGTTCGATCATTTGCAACGCTCACTTGCAACACCCAAGACAAAACCAGCAATCATGTCTTCGACGACACAGAGCGTGCAATGCTTCGGCAAGAAGAAGACGGCCACCGCCGTCGCCCACTGCAAGGTTCGTTGGAGGAACAAGACCCCCTCCCTCGGGCTCGAGAATCACCCGGCCTTATTCACGAATCAAATGGAGAACCGAAACCGACTGACATGATGTTGTTTTCTTGATATAGGCTGGCCGTGGTCTGGTTAAGGTCAACGGTCGTCCCCTCAGCCTGGTTCAGCCCGAGATCTTGCGTTTCAAGGTACGATGATGCCACTTGGAAAGAAAAAGGGCAGGGAAAAGGGCGCTGGAAGGATTCTCCGTTGCCGTCCTGGAAACACCGAAAAATATCACAGCCATGCCGCTTCTTGCCCTCCTTTGCATGCTGCAAAACTTGTTGAACAAGCTACGAGGCGTAGGGCCCCAGATGAGCTTCAAATCTATGAGGATGTAGCTTGAGCAATCTCTCTTTGCTGCGTTGGCATGGGGTGGCATGGACCGCGGATATCCAAATTTCTGTTTTCGTGGCAAACAACGGACAACTTCCAGCACCTTGTCGCCTGCTCCCTTTTTTCTTCTCCCCTTCTCTCTCTTGTGCCAAGATTAACGTATCGCAGGTCTACGAGCCCCTCCTCGTTGTCGGCCTTGACAAGTTCGCCAACGTCGACATCCGCGTCCGCGTCACTGGCGGTGGTCACACCTCCCAGGTCTACGCTATCCGCCAGGCCATTGCCAAGTCTCTGATCGCCTATTACCAGAAGTACGTCGACGAGCACTCCAAGAACATGCTCAAGCAGGCCCTCGTCCAGTTCGACCGCACCCTGCTTGTCGCCGACAACCGCCGCTGCGAGCCCAAGAAGTTCGGTGGTCCCGGTGCCAGAGCCCGCTTCCAGAAGTCTTACCGATAAAGGCCTTGCACGACAAAATGCAAAGTCTTGTTTTATTTCGACGGTTAGCGGGGACGGGAAGACTGAGAATTCTTGTTTGGTTGACGTTGTGCGGCATCATACGAGTCCGGCAGTAACAAGAAAAGGGAGAACCATTGTCTTGGCTTCGTATTGTCTTTGCCTGTGCCGCGTCAGCTTGGCAGGTTTTTGAAGGCGAGGGGGGGGGTTGAGGGAGAGCCAAGGTGGGGGATAACAAATCTGGAATGCGAGCTGGAGAAGGCGATGTCATGTTTGGTGTGGACACACAAAACGGGGTCGGAGTCTCATATTCCCTGGTACGGGGATAGGTTTTCCCATTGGCATTTGCATGGACTTGCTTTGAACGGATTGTAAAGGGTCTGACAGGCAAATGAAATACTAAACGTTCACGTTACACATCGCCAGTGCTCTGTGAATTATGTGTATGATGCTGCAACACCTGGCATTTTGCCACGTCCTTGTGTTAGTATCAGTGGGCATTGACAGAAAATTTGCACAAGTTATTTTTGTCGAACAAATTATATGCTGTATACACTAATGTTATACTCTCATATATATTTTGTCATCGCATGATTTAGACAATTCGAACGACGAGCAACATCAAACTGGCCAGCTGCGGGACGTTATTCATTCAGGTCCAAGTATATTCCACAGAATGCCAACCACAAAGTATTGGTATTGATACTAAAGTCAACGGGTGGTGCGCGATGTATGCCAAGCTCATCGCCCAATCTATACCGGAATCTTGGCTGTAGCGCCTAGTCTTGGTTGTACGAACACGTCAGGTGTTCCCTGAACGCCTGTTCTCGCTCGTCATCGTCGAGCTGCCCATTGTTTATGGCCGTTCAAACAAACCTACATCGCCAAAAGGTGTGATCCAATACCTAAAAACCCAGAACCTCAATCCAAAGACATGACTATTTCCCGAGCCTTGAGGAATTCCTTTACTCCATAGCGTGTTTTGCAGAAACAAACATTTCAATTCCTTTGCTTTTTTTTCCAGTACTTGCGCCATGCTATTTACCCACCTGAATAAGTTATTATTGCACTGGGCATATGAAAAGCAAAAAAAAGGGGGTGTGGGAAGAAAAGAAAACATATACCCGGGTCTTGTGCTTAGCAACACAAAACATGGGGCTTCGTAATGCTTTGGAATAGAAGTAATGAGACACCTGAGTGCTTGAAATATTTCTTGCCTTGTTCGTTGTCTAGTCAGACCAAGAAATCAGGCCTCGCTCACGGCCATTCTCATCCAGCTCAACAAACTCTGGTGCCCATTCACCACGTTCGTCTTCAGCCTCCAGGTCGGTCAATTCCAGCTCTACTTCTTCTCCATCTTCCATGACGACAATGCCCTTTCTGAGGTAGTCACCGCTGAGGTCCCATCCAATATCGGTCAAGACGGCCTCGAGCCTGGAGAAGGCTGTGCTGACGGCAAGATGGTCTGGCGTAACAATGTTCTCATCATCTGAGAGGAATTCCTCCATGCGGCGTTTGTATATGATGAGAGCAATACGCAACTCTCGGCACCTGGTGTCGTTATTTTCAAGGACTGAGCTTTCCATCCACTGACTGCTGTATGCAATTTGTGCGGCGACGGTGTGCCACATGGATGCCACAAGCACGGGTTGCCCTTGTACAAGAAGATGAGATTTGACGAGGAGTTTGAGTAGCATGAACCACCATTGCTCGAGGCTGGCGTCGTTTCCAAGGTGTACGCCTACAACGAAGGCAAACTGAAACTCTCCGAGCAAGTCGTCATAAACCAAATTGTTCTTTGTGTCTTCAATCTGAGACATGAGATAGATGCTAGGATCGGTAGCCTCACGTGTGCGCTCAGACCCAAGGGACTCGATTGAGAAGAGCCTAGTTGTACTTTGAAAAGCAAAGTGCAACTCTCGCCGTTGGAGATTCCTATTGGGGACGGCTCGCTCCAATTCTACCTCGGGGGAAAACTTGAGGGCGCCTTGTGCACGATCAAGGGTATGCACAATCCAGCCACCTACCTGGGGTCCTGTGATTCGGTTCAATACTGTCGCATTGACATGAGTCGTCAATTGATTCCAGATGCGGCGGTTTCTCTCGACCTGGGACACAGATAGCTGGCCACCACCTTCGGTGAGCCGCGACGGGTCGGCATAAGGGACGAGCTGGGCATGAATATTGGGCATGCTCTCAGCACTATTGCGAGATTCTGAGCGAGTGGCTTCGGTCAGCATCTCGTTGTACGAGTCCCATTGCACAACATGAACATGGTTCTGAGACTCTGAGCCGAGGAGCCAGACCCCGTCGCGTGCAGCAACACCGCTTGGGTGAGCAACCCAGAAGAAATGAGGACCAGCCTGGACATCCCTCACGCCGACAAAGTTCTGGGCCGTGAATGAAACACTATCGTAGGCAACGACAAAAAGGTCGGGCAGATCAAGGATGACGGCTACATCGCCCCCTCCCATTTCATGAGCCTGGGGGTCTCTGGACCTTTTGGTTGGGCTCGCGGATGAGCTCTGGGGACTGTTATGCTGGTTTCCGGACAGGCCATAGGCATTTTCAACTGGAGATTCTAGAGGAGGGGGCCCTTGGTCGTCGTCGTCCTCAACGTCATTCTGTTCCGAAATGCGAGGAGACGATTCAGGTCCCAAGACTCGAAGAGTTCCAAGCGGGTGGACGCCGACAACGCGGACAGATTCGTGTGATGTGGTGGAGTGCGCCCCAGCTGATCTTGTCGAGTTGGATTTTCGAATGCCTCTTGGCGTTGAGGCAGAGGCCCCTTTGGCGTCCATGTTGAAGCTATTGCCTGGGATGTTGCATCCAACGAGAAGCAAGTGTAGATGGATGCGGCAAGAGTTGAATGGTGGGCATCAAGTCGCCCTGCCGGACCCTCGCTACAGCGTCGTACCTCTGTGGAGAGAGATCCGGTGCCTTTGAGGTTCTTCCCAGGCAGAAGCTCTGGTAGATATTGTAGAGGTTTAGATATATCGCGGAGCTGCCACTGGTGACCAGACGGGGGGATCAGATGCCCCCAACCAAACAACCGAAAAAAGAAAACAAGGCAAGTTACCTAGGTTGGTCTGGCCGTATGTATGTAGTCAAAAATGCTGACGACTTGGCGGGGCAAATGGGCGAGATGTCCCACATGTGCACCTTGGCTGGCTGTTTTGAGTGTTTGCGGCTTCTTTGTTCCACTGCTTGGGCCAATGACCCCCGCGACAAACCTATGTCGAAGGAGGAAGTTGCGAAACCGCGTCAGAAAGGCAGGAAAATAGAATTGAATTTTGACTGATCTACTTTGTGCTTTTTTTTTTTTTTTTTGCTTTTAGGCGGGCATGTAATTGCGCTTGGGTGCGAACAATCCAACTTAAATTTAACTGCATGTATCGATACATGTTGCAAAATTCCACTTAGACTTTCGGCCTACAGCAGGATTGGCTTCTAACTCAGCCACATTCTCGGTATTAGGAACAGAATCAACTTCACAGACACGCACTATTCACTCCGATTGAGCGAGGCAGTCACGATGTCAGCCTGTTGACTTTTGACGTCAAGGTGCCATAGCAAGATTCATCACTGAGGACTTTGGGGCATTAGGTTAGCTGTGGCACTCGATACAGTCGGATGATTGGCTAAGTATAAGACGGACTCGTACGAAGCGGTGATGTCATTCATATTGCGCCGTAGTCGACACTCGGTCCTTCAGAATCTTTCGCAACTTGGCGGCAGAGCCTGACTCCAGGAGGGGGTAAGTCGGGCCAATTACCGTAGGGTGCGTCTAATGTGAGTCTTACACTTTACCACGGCATGGACAATTATGACTCTTCTTTCAATGGCAAAAAAAAAATGGAGTCAAGCCGACATTGTTTCAAGTTGGTCCAACCAAGGAGGCGGAGGCGTGGTGTTGCCGCCGGCAAAACATGGACAAAGGGCCGGGTCTAAGCAGTTGACTGATCTACTCGCTTGCCTGCTGCCTGCCTCCATGACAAGAGAATGATTGCCAATGGTCACGTTATACGCATCATTGTTCAGTTCTCTTGTTCGTCTCTTGACGTGGGTGAATTGGCCTCCTAGCCTCGCGATATGTATTCGCAATTGAGAAGGCGGCTAGCTTGATTAGACGCCGAGAGTGACACCGAAAATTGGCGCGGTGCTGAACCTTGGAAGGTGGAAGATGAGAAGATTCGGAGGATACTTGGCGGTACAAACAATGACCTCAGGGGGGAGGGGAGGGGGGGTATGATGAAGATGAATTCAAGTTAGTTCCAAGTTGTTTGCTGATGATGGACAGTGGTGGTGATGTGATATATCGGGCCGTATGGCAAAATGGAGTTTCGCACAGTGTGGCCGGGGCACTAGTCGAAAAAACAAGCTGGGCTGGAAAGGGCAAGGCCAGTTCCAGCATCGCGTACAGAGTATACGTGTCATTGCTCACTACGGCGTTCACTGTTGGTAGGTGATCAAGATAACAAAAAGCATAGTGGTAATGTGCAGTGGATAAAGTGCGGGCCAGGACGTGTGATGTCAACATAACAGTGGATTATTGTATAATGGATGTGGAAATGAATAACCAATGACCAAGTACATACGCAGGTACGGAGAACGGAGCAAAAGCGACCGCATGCACAAGTGAGCAGTTGACAGCTGGAGCTAGCAGGGGGCCACCTGGGGCCGAACTACCAGGTGTTAGGTGCCTAGGTACCTACCCAGGCAGGTCAGTGACGACTGGGGTCGGGGGTACGACATCTGGAGGCACATGGATGGCACTTGACATGCACTGGGCACTTTGCGGCATGGGAGGCACCCTGTTGCCTGTCTAGTCTGTAGATTGATTGCACCTTCCCAACATGAAGGTTACAGGGGCCACATGGGGGCGGGACCTGCACATGTGCTCTATGGAGTAGCCAACTACTTTCAATGTTACCCAGGTAAGTACCTAAACCAGACCGCACTTCTGGGAACGTGAAGTGAGAGTGTCCATGTCTGACTGGACT